CAGCTTTCTGTCCACCGGCTCGGTGGGAATAAGAGTCCGTAACGCTGTGAAAGCAGTGTTGACGCTCTGCGTCCTGTCGCGTTCCCGCGCGTTCGCTGCGTTCCGTTGCTTTACTACAACCACACTGCTCACCGTGGACTTGCGCAACATTTGCCGCCGCTTCTCCGCACTGGGACAGCAGCCGTAGCTCTGCTCCGAGCTGCCGTCGCTCTCGCTGCGGTTCTCCTCATCCTCGGACATCATGGCAACATCCGGGTACGCTAGATGAGTCGCCATGGGCCGCAGCATGGCAAATGCCATCACTAAAAATTGCTTATTGCTCACTGAAAAGAGCTTGATGAAACCGAGAGGGAAGTATCCAAAGTATCCAAAATGAAACGATGGCTTGTTGTCAAGCACTATCCACGCAAACACTGCATCGCCAAACCCTGCTGTGTGTTTCAGCAGTTGAACAATCTCATCACATGTTAAAGATCCTCTTGATGTGCGTCCTTACAAGTCCTTCCAAGCGCGAGCAGCTAAAGCAGGAGCAGCTCGCGCGGTCTTATAGGATCAGGGAGGAGCAGTCACTCATATGCAAATAACCAAAGTTACAGGCTCACAGACAAGCTAAATCATATTTGAGCACAAAATACCTATTTTTAATACTTGATAGTTTTGCTAACAAATTAAATACATTAAGGGATAAATAAAAACATTAGGAACAAACAGAAAAATAAAGTTATGCATTCACATGAAAGTACCTAAAGGTATGTTTTTGGACAGGTAGGCCTGGCAGTATGGCACTCTCGTGATCCCTCAGGAAAAAAAAGTATAAAACCTGTCACTTGGGTGGCATCTTTTTAAAGGGTCCATATTCTTACCTATTAGTAAAGTGTGCATATTAGAACCTAAAAGGTACAAAAGTGTACCTTTTTAAAAACTACCGCCACAGTGACAGCTGTTGTACTTTTTTTCTGAGAGTGTGTATTGAGATTAGTTTTAGTTCATTGCCTTCTGTACCATCACTGTATCGTGGTACTGCCACAGCAGTGTAAGGATAAGGGTGTTTTATGCATTTATAGATGTATAAATGTATAATTTCTAATATTTATGTAATATTGATCATTTATATTACAAAGTCTTATATTATTAATTTAATT